GCCGGGGCGGGAGCGGGTCTTGAAAATCAGACCCGTGCAGGACTCTGGCTCAGGCTAAGAAGCTAAGCTAACATGAAATAAATGCATACCAAGTCACTGCTAACAGTGTAGTTCCCCTATATAAACGTTACATTCATAATCAAATGAGACAATCTGCAAGAGAGTTATATTATTATTAGCTATATTTTGTTATTCTTAATGCTTGTCACACGTTAAGAAAAGAAGTACCGATACATAGCAGAACAATTGTTGCGATGTTCAGCTTAATAAACCTTGTTCAACATAATTTATTTAGCTAATACTACAGCAGGCGAACCAAATCTGCGTTTCGCTGCATTCCTTGATCTCCAGTTATAACGACGGACTCCATCGCCCGGACCTAACGGAGCCGCAGTGGGCTAGCTCCGGGACGCCGGCTGGAGCTAGCCCCCTGCGGCTCCGTTAGCTCCGGCGACCACCACTGGGATAATTGGGTCCCCTATTAACATTTGCTCCCGTTTAGCATTATGGGCGTCATAGCCATAGACTATACTAGACTAAGTCTTACCCAAGGCTGAATCATAAACTAAAATGTATATGTATGTATAAAGGGTTACGTCCTTAGCTGGTTAATAAGTAACAAGCTAAGCTACCAAGCACACAAACACCTGCGAACGGGATTAACATGTATAATATTATCATTTTAGACTTCTTGGAAGTTCTGTTAGTACATTCAAGCGCACAGCACGACATTTTAATTGTATGGTATTTGTAACAATATTCCCTAAAAGGGACAATCACCACGAACACGGCTNTTATATATATATATATATATATATATATAATATATTTATATAGTTACAACCGGCCCTTTGAGTGCAAACTTTATGCAAATGTTGCCCGCGGTGAAATTGTGTTTGACACCCCTGATCTAAACTGTACATAAGCCTGTCTGTCTATGGCTGTGAAATAATAAACATGTAGAGTAAAAGGAACAATATCTCCACGCCCCTCCCCGTAAATGTGGCTAATGGGGGAAATATAATCAAATTGTATTCCTAAAATAAAATAGGCTACTTCAAAAACAACGCAAAAACAATGCTTGAGTAACTGTACTGGTCATAGTGGGTGAATTTAGGAAAAAACAACTCACTTAACGCCGGAAGTTATATTTATGTCACTACATGTAGCTTGACGCTCCGTTCCGGAAAAGCAGCGAGTTGCACTGAAACGCAGACTGAAGGGAGTGGAGGAGAGGAGGAAGCAGGATGATGGGAGCGAATACTACTCCCTTTAAGTGACCCATATTTTACAGTAGACCTACATATTATCTAGACTAGTTCCTGCTCTCGAGGATTATTCTCTATCCACCAAGATGTCGGCGTCGGCGATATTTATCCTCGACCTGAAGGGAAAGGTAAGTTTGTGGCGACTTGTTGTTGGCGAAGTTCACACTGTTGTCAATGAAGCACCTGCTGCAAGACAAGAGTAGGTACGCTTATAAAAAGTCCAGAAATGTAAGGGTATTTGCATCATTGTCTACATTATATGCCTGTATACTTAATTTGACATTTCCTGCTTAGGTATTCTTAAACTCAGAGACTGTATGAACGCAAACAGAGCAGTCAGGAAGAGGCTCAACTGGTCAAACCCGTTCAACAGTGTTATGTGTTCAGACGGGCTTGTTCTTGTGCGGCGATGCAGCCTTCATTGTAGCCTACGTGTTGTGGCTTATTTCAAAGTTTAAAACTTTCTTTCTTTCTTTTATATCTTATCTAATCAATGTGGCTTACCTTAGTTAATAGGATAGTGTTTTGTTTGTGTCTGGACCTGGTCTGGACATGAGGTTGATATTTGGTCATTCTACAGAAAAGGTGAAAGTACTGTCACTTACTTTTGCAGACACCAAAATACATGACGTTGACCTAATACTCACATTCATTATATATGTTGAATAAATAGAGATTGTCTGCAATGGTACTAAATCAAAACATTTAAATAATTGTTATACATAAATTGCAATTTATTTAAAATGCCAAGTTCAAGGAACTTCCTTGTCACTTTGATCATACATGGAAATGGAGCCTATAGTTTTCATTTAAAATATTTTTTTTTCAATGAATAAATCTCATTCATACGCAAATTATTATTAATAATATCCAATAAATGTCAGTCACCCAAAAGTACGTAATTGGTCTTACTGCTACAAAACGCTTTTATTTTGAAGTAATCAAGGCTACTGTCTCGTGCCTCCTGTAACAAGAGATCATTTGAGGCAGTGCAGTTGACAAAGACATAAGGAAAGTCAGATACTTCTTACTTTGTTTGTTAAAGGTGTCATTTTATCTTCCAATTTTACGTGCGTCTTTCAAGACTGTCATTAGTGTTACTCATTTCATAGCCCTAGGGGTGAACATTTGAATGGGAAAATGTATTGTATTGAAGAGTTAAACGATTTTGATATTGACTGAAGCCATATTTGGTCTGACTCCAAATTGTCACTGGTGTTACCTTCACTGGTGTTACCTTCACTGGTGTTACTCTTCTTCCTGGTAACACGTAACACCAGTGACGTTCCTACTGTATATAAATAAGCTAGTATAATGTATACAAATAATACAAATTATTAAAATATGTTAAGCTCTACTTGTTGTGGATTCATCAAGTTAAGAGTTAGTTATTGCTATTTAACAGGTTTTAGATGTGTTTAGAAGGCATATATTTCAGCAGATTTGTATCACCCAGATTCCACCTTTTCTGTAGAATGAGCTCATTAAGGCACTTCTATGCTTCATTTTCTAGAGTTAAAGTTATGATCCTAGTCAATTTAGCAGTTGCTCGATTGGTAGATTAATCATTGCTTTCGATTGAATATCATTGTAAACTGAATATTTTTTAATTGTTGGTCATTCAACCCGGAAGCAATTTTAAAACCTAAAATTGATACTGTTTGAGCACATTTGTCTATTGTGTGGCCTTTATAGCCCAAACAATTAAAGGGGACCTATCAAGCAAAATGCACTTTTGTACGTCTTTTATACATGAATATGTGTCCCCGGTGTGTCAGGGAACTCACCAAGTGTCAGAAAACACAACCCTTTCTCTTTTCCTCCATACCCAAATATCTAAAAACGGGGCTACAACGGATCTGATACAGACTGATACGGATTTGAAAATAGTGTGACGTCAGTGACGAGGAGTTCAGCCTATATGGCCAACTGTCCACCAATCAGGGGAATGAGAGGTTGCCGTGGCATGGTAACAGCATGGTAACATGACGCTCGTAACTCGGCCCCCTCCTTTGCAGGGGGGCGTGGTCAGCTGCAGCGCATGCAAAGACAGGGCTGGCGGAGAGCAAAATAGAGCGAAATGAAGCATGGCTAAAATGCATGATCTGTTTGGTATTTTGAAAAAAAAAAACGTATAAATATACCTTATATATGTATAGCCCTACAATATATTATTCAAATATAGCATGATATGTCTCCTTTAAAGAGCCTGTGACACGTACAAAGGTGCATTTTGCATGATAGGTCCCC